GTATGTTAGCCACCATATATGCTAGTCGCTTGCTGCAGCTCCACATCATACCTTTACCTTACTCATAAGCTTAAATAGTCTTGATCGCGAGGGTGCGAGATTGCTGAGTCCCCGTGACTCATAGATACTTCCAAAAACCAGCTTGCAGGTGCTGATGAGACCGTGCAGATGACACAACCAAGCTCAAGGAGGAGCTCGATGAAGATCTTGTCCTTTGTCTTGTTTCGTTTCTAGTTGATCAGTAGTGGAGCCCAGTTGGGGTCGATCGAGGGACCTTGTCGCATTTGGGGTTGCTCTTTATTTTGGTTCCGTAGTCGGACCTTGATTGCATTTGGATGTTGTAATGCTTTATTCATGTAATTGTGTGAAGTGGCGATTGTAAGCCAACTATGTATCTTTTTCCCTTATGTATTACATGGGTTGTGTGAAGATTACCTCACTTGCGACATTGCTTTGAATGTGGTTATGCCTCTAAGTCGTGCTTCGACACGTGGGAGATATAGCCACATCGAGGGCGTTACAGGGCACCCCATAGACACACAAGTTGATCTCTTAGCTGTGTGCGGTGCCCCCCTCCACAAATTTCCACCTCGGTCATATTGTCGTAGTGCTTAGGCGAAGCCCTGTGTCGGTAACTTCATCATCACCGTCAACACGCCGTCGTGCCGACGAAACTCTCCCTCAGCCTCAGCTACATCAAGAGTTCAAGGGACATCACCGAGTTGAACGTGTGCAGATCAAAAAGATGTTCGACTACATCAACTGCGTTACTCAACGCTTCCGCTTTGGGTCTACGAGGATACGTAGACACACTCTCCCCTCTCGTTGCTATGCATCCCTAGATAGATCTTGCATGATCGTAGGAATTTTTTTGAAATACTGCATTCCCCAATAGCAAGTACAAAAACTCATCAACAATGGCCATGTTCGAGAAATTTTGACCCCTTGTGCCGTCCCGGTAATCTTTGTTCCCAAGAAAGATGGTACATTTCGCTTGTGTTCAGATTGCTGTCCTATCAATTCTATTACCGTGCGTTATCATTACCCCATACCATGCCTAGATGATATGCTTGATGAGCTTAGCGGAGCCACAATTTTCTCTAAGATTGATCTTAAGAGTGGCTACTATCAAATACGCATCCAAGAAGGTGATGAATGGAAAACCGCATTTAAGACCAAGTTTGGCTTATATGAATGGCTTGTTATGCCCATGGGTTTATCAAAAGCACCCAGTACTTTCATGAGACTCATGCATTTTGTTTTTCGACCTTATATTGGTGTATTTGTTGTGGTCTACTTTGATGATATTCTTGTGTTTAGCAAATCTCTCAAAGATCATGTCACCCACCTTAAGAGCGTGCTACACATTCTTAGAAAAGAGCACCTTTTTGCTAATATGGACAAATGCATTTTCGATGTTAACAAGCTTGTTTTCTTGGGTTTCATTGTGTCTTCTAAGGGTGTTCATGTTGATGAATCTAAGATCAATGCTATTAAGAATTGGCCACAACCAACCAACTTGCAACAAGTGTATATCTTCCTTGGTTTAGCCGGTTTCTACCGTAGATTGGTGAAGAATTTTAGCACCATTGCTTCACCTTTGCATGCTTTGAGTAAGAAGAATGCACCCTTTGTTTGGGGACTATCCCAAGATAACGCATTCAATGAGCTTAAGAATTTGCTTACTCATGCTCCCGTGCTTGCATTACCCAACTTTGACAAACCCTTTGAGATTCATTTGCGATGCTAGTGGTAATGGCATAGGAGGTGTGTTAACGCAAGAGAAGCACCCCATAGCTTACTTTAGTGAGAAACTTTCTAGAGTGCAACTCAATTACCCCATCTATGACAAAGAGCTATATGCTTTAGTGAGAGTTTTGCATGAATGGGAACAATATCTTTGCCCTCATGAATTTATCATCCATACCGACCATGAAATACTTAAATACCTTAAGGGTCAAACTACGTTGAACAAGCGTCATGCTAAATGGAGTGAGTTCACTGAGTCTTTTCCTTATGTCATCAAGTACATTAAAGGTAAGGAAAATGTTGTGGCGGATGCACTTTCCCGCATATGCATGCTTGTTACTAAACTTGAATTGAATGTCATTGGCTTTGAGCACATAAAAGACTTGTATGCGCATGATCCTACTTTTGCTATTCCTTATGCCAAATGTTTGACGCATACATCTTGGGAACGCTATTACATCAAAGATGATTATCTTATGAGAGCTAACAAACTTTGCATCCCCGAGTCTTCTCTTCGTTTGTTGGTTTTGCAAGAATCTCATGGAGGTGGACTAATGGGACACTTTGGACGCGGCAAGACATTTGCTACGCTCTCCAAGAACTATTATTGGCCCAAGATGTTCCGCGACGTCATCCGCTTCACCAATCGATGCTCTACATGTCGCAAAGCGAAGTCTAAAGCTCAATCCCATGGTCTCTATCGCCTCTTCCAATTCTGTATCAACCATGGGAAGATATTAGCATGGATTTTGTGCTTGGTTTTCCTAGAACTAGAAATGGAAAGGATTCCGTATTTGTTGTTTTGGAACGATTCTCTAAGATGGCTCATTTCACTCCTTGCAACAATATAGACCATGCTTCACATGTTGCCAATCTTTTCTGTAGGGAAATATTGCGCTTCCATGGAGTACTAAAGATGATTGTCTGGGACCGCGATGTCAAGTTCCTGAGCTACTTTTGGAAAACCTTATGCGCCAAGTTCGGTACCAAGCTCTTTTTCTCCACGGCATACCATCCACAAACCGACGGCCAAACGGAGGTGACCAACCGCACACTATCCACTCTACTCTGCGTGTTGATCAAGAAGAACATGAAGGAGTGGGAGGAGTGTCTAGCCATCGCCGAGTATGCCTACAACCGAGCAATACATTTGACTACCGGCAAGTCCCCCTTCGAGGTCGTCTACGGTTTCAACCTGTTGTCCCCATTGGACATTCTTCCTCTACCACTACAAGAGCGCATCGATATGGACGCGAGTGCCCGAGTGAACTACCTCAAGAAGATGCATGAAGATACAAGGCACACCATCGAGCGCCAAGTACACCGACTCGCGACCAAGCTCAACGTCAGCAAGCAACCCATGATATTCAACATTGGAGATCTTGTGTGGCTACACCTTCGCAAGGAACGCTTCCCAAACGAACGCAAGTCCAAACTTCTACCACGAGCCGACGGACCCTTCAAGGTGCTTGAGCGCTACAACAACAACGCCTACAAGATCGAAATCCCACGCGACAAGTACTCTGTGAGCGACATCTTCAACGTCAAAGATCTCTCATCGCACCATGGTGATGAAGATTTCGATCCGAGGTTGGATCTTCCCCAAGGGGGGAGATGATGCGGAGCATCCTATGGCCATCCCCATGGACACTACCTCGGCTATCCAAGCTCCAAGTGGCCCCATGACAAGAGCAAGAGCTCGTGCTATTCAATCTGAGGTGATATCACTCCTACTTGAGTTTTCCACTCCTTTGAGGGAGACGTGGCTACTGGCTAAGTCCGAGACGCTATGTGTGGTCAGGTACAACGCACAAGCCACGGAGCCGAGCGCTAAACAAGAAGAGGCAGGTGTCAATTCTCTGTCCAGCCCGAAACCTCCGGCCAGAGCCCGGAACATCCGGCCCCCGGAACCTCTAGCTGACCCGGAACTTCCGGACTCCGGTGACATCGACCAGTCCGGGCGTGCCCACTTTCTGGTTAGCCCGGAACTTGCCCGGAACTAGGCCCGGACCTTCCGGCCCCCGGACGCCAGCCCAGCTCCTCCCGTGCCAATTCTCTGGTTAGGCTGGACCCTCCCCGGAACCTAGCCCGGAACCTAGCCCGGAACTTCCGGACCTGCCTACGTGCAGTGACTTGGCCCGAGGCCCGTGTACCCTTTCGCCCCCGAGACTATATATACTCTTCTCCTACCTATGTTTTAGGGTTAGCATTATGATAGCTCATTTGTGAGATAGAGCCTCGCTCATCCATACGGATCTACTCCTCGAGAGAGACCACGGCCCCTCTTTGGAGAAGATCCACGTTGGATTTAAGACCCCCTCTCGGGTGGCCCCATCAAGACCTCCTCATGGAGAAGAACCAGTTACCCTATTTATCATCCCTTGTTGACTTTGGATCGTGTGATCTCTATGTGTAGTCGGATCTAGCATATGTGTGATCGTTCTTGTTGGTTTGAGTGATTCTCTCGTGTTTCCTCTTGTGTTTCCCTTTATGATTTTCCCTTGTGTTTCTCGTGTTCTTGCGGGATCCGCTCCTTTTGTGAAAGATCGGCCATCTAGGGTTCCACCCTACATCAGATTCTCTTGGGATCGGATGATGATGGTGATGTGCATCACACCTCTTGGGGCATCGTTGTTGGAGTTTCTTACCGGCCGAAGGGACCAGTGATAGATGGTGGTGGTCATTCGTGCTGCTTAGAGCTTGGTTAACCAGATTTAGTTTTGATTTCGATGCAATGGATGTTCGGTTGAGTTGATCATCTGAAGCCGGGTTAGTAAGTTTGATTCTTCTTGGATCACCTTGTTCATATTCGACACTCCTCTCTCTCTCTCTTTGTGGGGCGTTGTTGGGTGGCAACCATACAACAATGCTAAAGGCTACGACTTGCTTGGTTAGATGACCATGGATGCTGAATATCTACTTCGTCCGCTAGAACCAGCATGCCTGAGAGAAGTTGAAGTAGTAGTGTACTCATCTTGAGCTTTGTAACACCATCTAAATGAATGAAATGCAATGCTGGTTGCTTTTTGTCAAAAAAAGAAAAGAAAAAACATGCTTGGACTCAGCACACACCGGAGCCAGCCAGCTCGACTCGGTCTATATCACTCCCTCGTCCGCCATAGCGCAGACCCACGCGCGCGCGCGCTCGGCCACACGTGCGGCTCCCAGGATTCGCGCCGCCGCGGGTAAGAAAGGCCAGCTTGGAGGAGGGTGAGGTGGAGAGTCGGGAGGCGAGGAGTCAACTGTATACTATGGATGGACCGGCGGAGCTGGAGGCGGCGGAGCAAGTGGTGATACGGTTGGACTCGTCGTTGGCTTCGACGGCGGCGGCGGAGCCGGCGGCGGTTGGGGGCGAGCCGATGCTGTTCGACGGAGCAGGGGATCGAACCGAGGCGGAGCGGTTCCTCCGTGCTGTGGATAACATCCGCCGCCTCGCTCTGTCGTCCCCCTCGGTGGTCGGGAGCCCGCGGCGGTCGTCCGGGTCGGGGGCGGCGGCTGGTGGAGGCGGGTGCAGCGCCGTGCAGGTCACGATGGCGCGGCTCGAGGACGAGTTCCGCCACTTGCTCTCGTCCCGCGCCTTCGACCTCGAGATCGAGGCGCTCGCCGACCTGACATCTCTCTGTATCTCCAGCGACCGAACGAACTCGGTCTCATCCATGGACCTCCCAGCTGTGGAGGAAGATGACTCCATCTCCGACTGCGGCGGCCGGCGAAGCAGCTACCGCTCGCTCCGGAGCATCCGTGAGATCGACCTCCTCCCCGACGACGCCGTTGCCGACCTCCGCGCCATCGCCTCTCGAATGGCTGCGGCTGGGTACGGCCGCGAGTGTGCCCAGGTGTACGCCTCCATTCGCAAGCCGGCCGTGGACGCCTCCCTCCGCCGGCTCGGCGTCGAACGGCTCAGCATCGGTGATGTCCAGCGCCTCGAGTGGGACGCTCTCGAGGCCAAGATCCGCCGATGGATCCGAGCTGCCCGTGCCGCCGTCCGCGGCGTTTTTGCCAGCGAGCGCCGCCTCTCCTTCCACGTCTTCCATGACCTCCCAATCTCCAATGTCACCGTTGTCAGCGTCGTCACCGCGGCTCCAGCCACGCATGACACCCCCTTCGTCGAAGCTGTCAAGGGTGCGGCGCTTCAGCTGTTTGGCTTCGCTGAGGCCATCAGCATCGGTCGCCGCTCTCCCGAGAAGCTCTTCAAGATTATCGATCTCCACGACGCGCTATCTGACCTGCTGCCTGACGTCTCCGACATTTTCGCTGCATCCAAGGCAGCCGAATCGATATACGTGCAGGCCGTAGAGATCCGATCGCGCCTCGCAGATGCAGTGCGTGGAATACTCTCGGAGTTTGAGAACGCAGTTCTCCGCGACCCGCCCAAGACTGCAGTTCCTGGCGGCACCGTCCACCCGCTCACACGGTACGTGATGAACTATAGCAGCCTCATTTCCGACTACAAGGCCACGCTCACCGAGCTGATTGTATCACGTCCGTCGGCAAGTGCCCGGCTTGCTGCTGAAGGCAATGAGCTTGCGCCATGCTTGTCCTGCCTCGAACTACCCGCGCATGAGAATCAGTCACCGCTTGCTGCCCATATCATCTGGATCATTGTTGTCCTTGAACACAACCTTGAGAGCAAGGTGTCACTCTACAAGGACACGGCTCTCTCACATTTGTTCTTGATGAACAATGTACACTATATTGTACACAAGGTCAAGGATTCACCTGACCTCTGGAGCATGATTGGTGATGATTACTTGAAGCGGCTTACAGGAAAGTTCACAGTGGCCGCCACAAATTACCAGCGGACGTCATGGCTAAAGATCCTGAATTGTTTGCGAGATGAGGGTCTTCATGTAAGTGGTGGCTTCTCGTCAGGAATATCCAAGTCAGCTCTGCGGGAGCGATTCAAGTCCTTCAATGCTGCATTTGAGGATGCGCATAGGGTGCAATCTGGGTGGTTCGTGCCGGACACGCAGCTGAGGGAGGAGCTGAGGATCTCAATATCAGAGAAGCTGTTGCCAGCATACAGGTCGTTCCTTGGCAGGTTCCGGCATCATATAGAGAATGGGAAGCATCCAGAGTTGTACATCAAGCACTCAGCTGAGGACCTTGAGAATGCCGTGAATGATTTCTTTGAAGGGGCTCCTCCTTCCCCGCATAATAGGAGGAGATCTCATGGATGAAATTCCTGTGCATTTAGCATTCGACTGGTGTGTTGTGGCTTTGTATTCTTTGATTCTTCAGGGGGGATCAAGTGCTGACAGTTGGAGCTCTGTTTACTCTGATATTTGACAATATAGTTGGTCAAGAACTCTTGGTCGATAAACAGACATGCCAATTCTTATGTCATTTTGAGATCTGGTGAAGCTGTCAATCTCCATGGGTCTTCCTCTGTGAGCCAACTTGTTCATTTGTTACACTATTATTTTATATTTTTGGCAAGTAGCATGTTGATATAGCATTTTCATTCCAGTTAAAAAAATATATAATGTTATTATTCTTTCAGCTATGTTGGGTACATGGAAGTGTAATCCATGCAATTTCATGCCAATGCCTTGAATGTGCTTTTGATGTCCTTTATGTTATTAGCAATCATCTGGATAGTCCATGCTTTGTGGGTTAGAGATAGAAATATTTTTTTTTACTCTTTTGTACCATATGATTTTGTAAAATTATGTTGTTACTTTGAATGCCAATCTTGAGTTTCTCTAGTGCATATCTTCTTTCGGGTGTTAGAAATTGACAGATTTTAATCACTCTCTTGTACCACATGATTTTGCAAAATGATTTTATCAATCTAAATGCTAATCTTGAGCTTCTCTAATGCACAACTTTTTAAGGATGTTAGAAATTTGCAACCCCTAGCAAGCCAGGAATGTACTACACAGATTCTTCTATATGCTACGTTACTGCCTATTTATTGTTGCGCAGTTTGTAAATTGAAAATCCTCATGTCTTTTGGCTGTTGCTATGTTGAGTAGTTCAAGTATGTGAATCATTTGTCTTTGTCCTTACAACCTGGGCATGCCACCAGTTTGAAAGGTTTATTTTACTAGTTCACGTAGCTATCCATGAGTGTGACAAAAGAGAACCTGGCCGTGTAATGCTTTGACGTTGACTGGATTTTTCTCTCGTTTTCCCCTGTGATTTGGATATGAGATGGGTAATAAAAGAGAAGTTCTTTTTTGAAATAATAAAAGAGAATTTGGTCTTTGCTCAGTTATTAGGGATTAGTTTTTTTTTATTGAAGAACATCGGCGCTTTATTTATAGAGAGAATTCCTTATTTGACCCTTTCTTAAAATTTGCTTTCTTATTTGACCCAAAATAAATTTTCTTCCCTATTTGACACCTAAATTAATTTTTGTTTCTTATATGACACTTTCGTCCATTTTAGACACTGATAGTGTTAACTGTGTGGTGAAAAGACCATTTTGCCCCTAATGCATTTTGCAATGTCCTGGATGAAGTAAAAAGCAATTAGTTCACCTATGTTTTAGGGATGTTCAAAGGATGCTGCACATGTATATGTATGTTCCGATATTTTGTCTTATTAATCTGGACTGTGCGTGTAAAACCCATACAAAACATTCGTAGAATTTGTACTAGCATATTTATGATCAGTACGGTACCATATTTTGGTTAGTTCTCATAGTCACATACCACTAAATCCTCCAATTAGCACTTCGTGCTGAATTTGGTCACGTGTTCCAAAGTACAGAATTACACATAGTCACATACTACTAAATCCTATATAGGCTAGGTATATATTGCTAGTATATAATATGTGATAACTTGTATACAGTGAGAAAAAGGCAACGAAGAGATTAATGAAAGCGACACGCTCCGGTGGCAAACAGTCGGCGTCCCCTGTTCTCGCGGACGTGTGAATCGAGTTGTGCCAGCGATCTACTAGTCGGCGATTTGTACTTAGTACGTGCAACGGTCCAAGTGCATCTGGTGCAAATCGTACGTACTGTATATGCGAGTCTGCTGTCGGAAAGTAATCAGCTATGGCTAGCTCGTACGTACTGCATCTTGTCGGAAAGTAGTCGGTTATATTACAAGCTACTCCTACGTCTCATCCAAAAATACATGTATCTTGCTGGAAAGTATATGGTACTGTACTTATTTGCAAAAAAGTAAGTAATCATAGATATGCTAGTACAAGTTCTACGGATGTATTCTATGGCTTTTACACACACATACCAGTTTACCTAAGAAACAAAATATTGAAGCTGTGCCGTTTCGCCTGATCCTACGCGGATGGATTCTTCCGTTGCTTTCACTCCCGCTATTTGTAGCTCATAGCAGTTGATGGTGCCAGGCCAGGCCCAACCCATGTGATATCCAAGGGCCAGCCCAAGTACACATATGGGCTAGGGAAGGTCCCTGACATCCCTCCCTCCTTGAAATGCGGCTTGACCCCAAGCCGCCGACGCCATTGAGAACCACCTGGATCCCATTGCACTCGATGTTCCTGGCCTTGGTCGAAGTCGGCGTAGACTTGAACGAGGGAGAAGTAATTGTTGTGGCTGAATGAAACCTGGTCGAAGGTGTCAAGGACGTAGCCATTGTCAGTACAACCGCGGTTGAAGCCAAGGTGGTACTCGTGGTCGGCATAGCCTTGCGCGAAGACAACGGCAACAAAGATGATGCCCCTCCCTCCTTGAGGAACCGCTCACTGAGTGAATTCTAGTAACAGCAACAATGCAAGCTCTCCACGATCCCAAGACGTGCACAGCTGGTCGATGCTCATGTCAGACCCCAATAGATCAATATTATACGTGAGCACATAATCTAAATGGAGACCAAATAGGGAGCGTCGTCCAATATATTTAGCAATATGTGAGTCGGTGATGTCCAACTGATGATATATGTATATCACAAGCTCGTGGGGCATAGCTCCACACACATCATGTACCAGTAGCTCACTTTTTGAATTGCTGCTGGAACTAGGCAAGCCATGAAAAATCTTGTTAATGTGTTGTTGCACCAAGGCCGCAACCCAGCTACAGAGCATCACTATTTTCTGGCCAGAGAAGATTGCACACAACATAAGAATAGCAACATTTGATCATAGCAGGTAGTCAGGCCAAGTATTAATCTGGAGAGATGCCAATCTTGTAGCTGAACTAGCAATTGCAAACACCACTGAGTTGCTTTGAAACTCATAGGAATACACGACCCGCATTATCGGTCGACTCCCGCTGACAGTATGGCCACTCCACTTAAATTTCCATTGACTCAAAAGTTTTTGGTGCACTGACAAGTTCATAAACTGGATCTTCCTTTGCAATTTGTCACCCATAGAAATACTACATACAGTAGCATGCTCCAGTATGTGCTGCTCGGACGCACCCATGGTTTCTAATGGTATCCCACTTCGTGGACTGCTCATCGATAGCTAGGAACAAATCCTTCAAATATTCCACCGAACCTAGATTAGGGTAGTTGCCGGCCAACACAAATTGCTAACACTAGGGAGCTCAATTTTGGGTAGTTCTGATTGCACACATACTGGCCGACAACCGCAGGCAAAATATTGTAGCTTCGACTGAACATTTTTCTGACTCGACCCAAACCTTAGTGGTACATCTTGAGCACAAAGTTCATAAGAGGACTGCACAATGCAGACTAGTTCATATGGACCAAGTTGTTGAGATACATGCATGCTCTGTAATACATGTGCATCCATAGTACCAAGATAGGAATGACAATATTCAGGAGAAATAGCAATAGAACATGTACAGATTTCCAAAAGCCACTGCTTACCTTCGCACAAGAGTTGTTTACTGAAACATGAATCATCACTCTCCTGTTTCATAACCCACAAGCGCAAGACCTGGTCGGTGAGTACCCCTCCGAAGTGTCCACTGAAATTGCATTGCCGCTGCCATGATTTGTACAGAAAATCTCCTTTTACAGTATATTGGTATGAGCAGAGAGGAATTCCACCAATAAGAAGCAGAGTCAACCACACAAACTGATTTAGCTGGAGACAAACCATGTTACAAGCAATGTGTTGCTGAATAGTGGATGTTTCCACACTTTCGAGCAAAGATAATGTCCAGCTCCAAATTTTGTTAGAAGACAGTGGCCGAATTTCCCTGAAATGAAATTGAAACTCATGCATAAGACAAGATCTACTAGCAGTTGTTTTCCTCTCGGAATTGAGTGGCCATGCAACTTTCCATTGGTATTGTTTAGAGCATTGAGATAAAACAAGCGGACTGTTGAATTCCACTCTCTATGACCTAGCCTCACAACACTTGCTTGGCTCAGTGGAAACCCAGAAAGTAGGTTGCCCAGAAGGCCATGGTTGTAACTCCACTAAATTGATAATCAGAGTCTGCAACCGGGCATGAAGAATTCATCCTTGGATTTTCCTCCTTTTTGGGTGATGATCAGGAGGCCACCACACATTGATAGAGTCACCAGTGACACCATTATGAGCTATTCCATGGAGTAGAACAACATCATTATCTGTGACCTGCACTGGAGTAGGTGGTGGCCAAGGGTGCTGTTGTAGATCCTCAAGTTGCAATTCTTCTTTACATAACACATGTGCAAGGATGTCCTCGATATTGTTGCGCAACAGGGATGGCAATGAGGGTATCATGGCTGGGTAGAGCACATACCTTAATGGTTGAGCGGCACGACGAGAGCATTTCGTCGAACATGTGGTCAGCGCTGGTGCAGGAAGGTCACTGGAGATGTTGAGGAAGACATTGTAGCCCACCTCGTTTGTCACAAGGGTGGAGGTGTTGATGGAGAACAACGGTAAGACATCGAGATCCTGCACGCCGGCCTTGGGTTCGACGTCGATGGTGGACGCCCTGGAAGGAACGACCTCCTCGGTGACGCCATGGACCGCAGGCTCGAGGACGATGGTGGCAATAGCGCCATGGATAGCATTGACGATGTCGGTGGTGGCGACCTGGTGTGAGCATCCCGTCGAACAGGTGATATGTGCCATCACAATGCAAGCAGGGGGGCGTCGTGGATGACCTTGAGGACCTCCTGGGCCTTGGTGGTGGAGGGGGCGTTGGGGAAGATGGCGAGCTCAGTGACGACTTCTGGACTTGTCGCCATCAATGTGTACTCGTCCGTGCCTGCGACTGGGCCGCGGCAATCGCTGTCGAGGGAAGACTTGGGGGATGTATCGTGGCCGTGAGGCGGCA